AGGAGGACCTGAAGCACTTGCTGCAGAAGGTCAAGGACTGTTGTCTTCAATATGGATTGAAGCTCAACATCAAGAAAATAGAGATTCTTACCACTGGGCCAAATGGCAGCATCAGTATGGATGGTGAAGAGATTGAGATAGTTTACAGATTTAGTTTACTTGGCTCTTGTACATAAAGCCACTATGAGTTGCAAGCGATTCAATGGTACATAACAACAACAACAATTCTGCATTTGTTTTATCTTCGTTGTCATGATTTTTTTTTAGTTCCTCTTGCTTTGGCTTGTGGAATCCTCCAATTCTTTGAGTTTTTTTCTCAGTTGTTTTTTTTTTTTAATATCCCTTGAAAATATTCATTGTTCTTTTGAATTCTGTGTCAGAAAGTTCCATCAGACTTTCTGGCTTCAGAAAATTCCTTTATTCTGTCTTGACCACTTTTTTTGGATGATCTTGTTTTGGTTTTGTGTAGACTGTGATGTAGTCTGTTACTTCCATGTCATTACTGCAGTAGACATTTTTTTCTTGCCTGGTGACCTAACAAGTCCTTGGTCTGTCTGCCTTGGCTGAGGAGCTCACTGTTCCAGAAGAGAAAGTAGCAGCTCACCCTGCCCAAATTTCTCTCAGGTTTCTGAGCCCAAAGGAGAACTTATTTCATCTGTGGAGCTCAGCACTCTCATAGGGAGGGGACACCAATTCACCCTGACTGTGGTCTTTCCTCTCTAGCAAAGTTTCCTGGACCTTGGGACAGGGAGTAGGGAGGGCAATTGCTTCTGTTCCTTGCTTTCTGGTCCCACAGTTAAGTACTCTGGGATGGAAGGCTTATTGTTTTCTGATTGCAGCCCTCTTTTCTGAAGTCTTTTGCTCTCCTTGGTCTGCAGAGTGGTGCAGCCACGTTCCTTGATTCTCTTCACCACTCTGGCACAGTGTGCAGGAAAGACCTTGTCTCTGTTCTGCTCCAAGACCATATTCCTATGTATGCTGATTGCAGCAGCCTTCCAGTTAAGGCACACGGCTGGCAACACATGATGATGTCCCTGGGGGAGAGTGTTGTCTTAGCTGGATTCTGAGCGATGGTGTTGGAGGGTCTAATAAAGATGATTCCAGTTAAAATGAGTGCGGGACAGGCAGCTGGGTCCTGGAATATAGCCGAGTATAGAAGCGGGGTTCTGCAAGGTGCTGGGGTGATGGGGAAGTTTGGCATCTGCTGGCTGTGATCAGGGCTCAGGGTTCTGTATCTTCTTGGTGTGCTCTGGTAGTGTGCCTCTCTCAAAGAATTGGGCCATTTCATCTAAGTTGTGAGATTTGTTGGCATAAATTTAATCTACCATTTATTGCAAGAGAGGTATTGAAATCTATTTCTCTAATTGTATATTTGTCTTTTTCCCCCTTACACGTCTATCAAGATTTTTTAACTTACTTGGAAATTAGGATATTAGCACTTAAAAATTGAATTATACTCCCTAAATTATGTGTTGGAGTTCTAACCTCTATATTTGTAAATGTAACATAATCTAATTAATTGGTAATGTATCAGCCAATCAGTTGAGATTATGTAAAGGTAAGTTTTATCCTAAATCTAATCACTTCCAAGTTCAAAGAAGAGCAGATTAGACATAGACATGTACACAGATGGGGGAGGGGAAGACATAACTTGAAGATCTTCTTTAAATCAAGGAACTAAGAAATACCTAGAACTACCCACAAAGAAAAAATTAAGAAAACTGAGGACCTGAATGGGAGAAGATTGCCCATCCTTCTCCCAAGGAGCAGCTGGTGTTCTTGAATTGTGTGCCTTTGGGATTGCAGCACATCTTCTTGCCACTAGGCCACCAGAGAGAGCTCTGAAGGAATGCCCAGAACTACCCACAAGGAAGAACTAAGACAACTGAGGACCTGAATTCAAATTTCTAGCCTCTAAATGAGGGGGGGGGAAATCTCTGCTCTTTAAAGTCATTTACATGTGTAATTTGTGTTATAATAAGTCTTTTGTTGCTAAGTGCCTTCAAGTCCACTATGTTTCATGGCAGCCCTGAAACAACATCTGAATCTTGCCTTATCCTTTTCCTTATTCAAGGTCTCACGCCCCCACATGCTCAACCCCATTGGTATAGTTATTGTGTTATTAAGGGTCTTCCTCTCTTATTCAGACCTTCATATTACATGAGATGAAGTTTCACCATCCTTATCTCTAAGGATCAACTTGCTTGCACTTCTTGCAAGAGTTATCTGTTTGTTCTTTTGGCAGTCCATAGGGTATTCTATATTCTTCTCCATGATAAAAATTCCAAAATGTTAATTCTTCTTATATTATCCTTATTCATTGTTCAACATCTTTCAGATGCATAGGTAGCAACTGCAAATACCATCGCTTGGATCAGGTTCATCCTAGTCTTTAAGCTGAAATCCTTGCTCTTTAGAACATCCCTGAGAGGAGATTTCTTTGGATTTTTTAACTTTGCTACCATGTGTGTGGATGATGAAATTAAATCATTGGTAACTTCAGTCTTTTTTCCATCTATTTTCCATCTGTTGCCTATTGGTCCAGTGGTGAGGATTTTTGTTTTCTTGATGTTGAAGTGTAACCTGTATAGTAGGTAGCAGTCTTTAATCATCTGCACTATTTCAAGGCTTCTTCACTTTCTACAAGCAAGGTTGTGTCATATGCATAATGTAGATTGTTAATGATCCTACTTCCAAACCTGATGCCACCTTTTTCTTCATTTAGTTCAGTTTCTCGAATGATTTGGACAGCATACAGATTGAATTGGTATGGAGAAAGGATGCAACGCTGACATACACCTTATCTGAGTTTAAACCAGGTACTCAGCTCTCTAGCATTCCCTCAGCACAACCTTGACTGGAAGAGGTGCTACCAAGGACCTGGCTCACTTCTTGGAGCTTTGGCCACCAGTTAGACATTCAGAAACTCTGACATGACTGGGCATACCAAGTCCAGTCTTCTGCTAGAGTGACAGATACATTGTCCCAGGCAGTTTAACATTTCCTATAGCATGCATGTTTGTTTTATGATATTTGCTTGTCTGTTTTATAGTTTTCTCTTAAGGGTACAACATTTGTCTGTCACTTTGCAGTTTTGGGGGGGAGGATGGTTTGCATGTTTGCATGCTACTGCTTATTTTATAGTTTGTGTCTGCATATGCTTGTGTGTTTATAGTTTGCTCTTATGCATATGGGGTGCTAGAGAAAAGTATTGAACAAACTATGGACTGCCAGGAGAACAAACAGGTTCATCCTGCAGAGGGTGAAACCAGGCTGCTCCTTTGAGACAAGGAATTCTGAAGCTTCATCTGACATCCTTTGGGCATGTTTCATGAAGGGACCAGTCCTTGGAGGGGGACATCATGCTTGGAAGGGTGAAGGGACTGAGAAAGAGAGGGAGATAGTTGATGAGATGGATTGATTCAGTGACTGGGGTAATAAGGGTAGTTGTGTCAGAGACAATAAGGTTGGCACAGGATAGAGCAGGTTTTAGGGCTACTGTACATAGGGTCGCTATGAGTCACAAGTGGCATGACGGCACATAACAACACCAATAATTTATTGGTATGACACTTGCCTGTCTCTTTGCTGTACTGTGATTTGTGTGTTGCTGTGATTCTGGAAGCCATGCTACCAGTATTTCAAATACCAGCTGGGACACCCATGGTGGACAGATTTCAGCAGTTTCAAGAGTAAGACAGACTAAGAAACAGGATTGCCCATTCACTTCTGAAATAACAAGCCTACTCAAACTCTATGAATAACAAAAGAGCATTGTTAGATATAGTACTAGGATTAGAACCTCTCAAAATTGAAAGACACTAAAAAAGTAGGCAAAACAGTTGATTATGAGAACATGAAATGCATGAAATAGTAATCCAGGAATATTGAAATTTGTTAAAAATAAAATAGAATGCGTGAAGATTGGCATTTAGACATTAGTGAACTAAGATGGACTGGTATTGACCATTTTGAATCTGAGATCAAATGAATTCTTATGCAGGAATGACAAATTGAAGAATAGTTTTCATTCACAGTAAAAAAGGGCCTTTTAAGATATTACCTGAAATACAGTGCTGTGGATAATAAGATATTATCAACAAGCATACAAGGAAGACCTGTTAATATGATTATTACTCAAATATATGCATCAACCATTAAAACCATTCATGAAAGAACTGAGGAATTATATCAACTTTTGCAATCTAAAATTGATTGAATATGCAACTAAGAAGTATTAATAATAATAATGATTGATTGGGATGCAAAAGTTGGAAATGAAGGAAAAGGACCCGTAGTTGGAAAATATGGCTTTGGTGGCAAAAATGGGTCTGGAGACTGAATGATTGAATTTTAGCAATCAATGATTTATTAATTTCAAATACCAAATTATGCTATATGAAAGTAAAATTTAAAACCCTTTTGCTATTAGTCTAGCTTGAAAAAAGAAATACTAGTGGGAAATAAAGAATTCAGTTAAATAGATGTATTAACATTTATTCTTTTTCAGAAATCCTTCAGTGTGGAGAGCTGTGATTGGAACTAATAATATTCTCATCAAATATCAACACACTAAGAGGATAAAAGTTAATGCGATCTTCATCCATCCAGGTTTTAATGTGGACTCTTATCTAAATGATATGGCACTTTTTCATTTAAAAAGAGCAGTGAGGTACAATGACTATATTCAGCCTATTTGCCTACCTTTTGATGTTTTCCAAAATCTGAACCAAAACACAGCATGTTTCATAAGTGGCTGGGGAAGAACTCATGAAGAAGGTAAATGGACTCAATTTTATTGGTATTTATTTTCCAAAGGAAGGTCAACCCTTTTAGAATATTCTTCATCATTTTATATAATGTATTTGAAAAATAGGTCTTTAGAAATCAATAAATAAAGAAATGTACTTTCTTTTTTAAATTTTGGTCCTCTCTTTATGGGAGAGAGGAAATTATTTGCCAAGGCAGAATTAGACATGTTCTATGATTATACATGCAAGGATGTTTGAGCCTTTGAATATTCTCAAAAAAGAATAATGGTTTTAAGTATGTCTGAAGTTTCAGAGACTCGTTGACAAAGCTAGCTCTGTGGCAGAATTGCCTGTCTTAAATAAGATTCTACTTATAAGGAATAGGGAGCTCTGGTCACCTAGAGGCAAGAAGCTGTACCACAATCAAAACCACATGGTTCGAGGCCACCAGCTGCTCCACTGGAGAAGGATGGGAAATCTCCCATGTGATTGACTGCCTCTGAAAACCTACTGGAGTGTCACCTATGGATTGGTTCCAACTCTATGCTACAACAAGTTCTAAGGAATTTTACTATTCTTTTAATTTAATGCTCTGTTTACTCCCAAGTAGGTTAATTACCTTTTTTTTTTCTTTAAATGCACATAGGAAACGAAATAAATATTGGTTAATTGAGCAGTGAGAGGAATTGAAAACATACTCTGGTAATGACTTTGGTAATGACATCTGCTATGATTTGCGGTGCCTGTACCATGTTTCGGGCACAATTTAAAATATACTAATTTGTTTTAATTTATCTTCCCAATAATTATGGTAGGGAGTTAATGTTATCACTGTCATTTAACAGATCAAGATTTGAGGATCTTAGAAGTGAAAAAACTGTAACTCAATCTAAACTTGAAAGTCTAGCTGAAAAGCTGTAACTTTTGTCACTCTAAAACCTAAATATTTAACTACTGCATTAAACTGCTCTTCAGGGCATGATCATCCTTTTAGGAATATTTGCAATCAAGAACTATGACTCACCCACCCTCCCAGTCTTCTTCAATAGGCCTTAAACAAACAAACAAATAAAAATCAAACCTCCCCCCCCCCAGTGTAGTGTGTAGTGTTGTAGCATAAGAATGTCTATCTGTGTTTCATTGACAGTGCAAAGGCATTTGACTGTGTGGATCACAACAAACTGTGGCTGACTCTAAGAAGAATGGGAAAGAACACTTAATCGTGCTTATTTGTGAAACCTATCTACATAGCAATTCTACAGGATGCATCACCTTTGACCGATAAATATTGCAACTATACTTCAGAGACACTGATCCCAACATAAGGAACTACCATCAGCTGATGTGTTTGAAATCACAGAAGCCATGGAAGCTTCATATATAAGTTATTAGATGGAGGGCTGGTGAA